AAATATACATTATTTAACTTGTGCCTTATGGGGCACATATTAAAAAACCTTTATAAACTTTTTATCTGCTTAAAATTTTCGCCTGCCAAATTTGAACTCAATGCCCATTACATAGAGAATGCACCCTTTATCAAGTTCGGCTCAGAGTCCGGCACACATGAGCTTTTTGCAATTGAAGACAGCGAGTTGTTATAAAGGCGTTCACCTTTTTTTTTTTTTTTTCTGTGGAGAAAGCACAATTTCAGAGTTTTATTAGGTATTGTTCTATCAGCTTATCTGTCTCGCATTAGGTTTTTTAACATATCATTGAGGCCCAGCAGTGCTTTATCAACTTACAAGCATTGTATTAAATATTGAGTTACCATTAATCATGATATTTTGCTAATAGAATTGTTTGTATTCTTAATTATATTAATCATTGTTATTTGGTGATTACAATTTAATTCCTACTAGTTGCTTAGCAAAAAAACTAAATCTAGTTCTAATAGACTGTGAAAAGGAAGTCAATGACACATAGTCAACAAATTATTTACCACTTGGTTTAAAGAGACTCAAATCCCAAACTATAGATCGTTTTTCTTGTTTGGCCTAAACATAAAATAACCATAAGTCACTCTTCCAACTTTAAATAAATTAATTTCTTCATTAATTCTTAGTTAAAACATGGACTTATAGGTTTTTCCATTTCAATGCAAGGTAGAATCAATCAGTTTCAATGATGTTTCAATATCTGAATTAATACAAAAAAAGAAGAAGAAGATTTTATTAAGTTTATTAATGCATCAATGATAGTAAGTGGTCAAGTGTTAGTTTCTTTCACCTATTTGGTATGGTAGGGTGGTAAAGGAGTTTACTCCTCACTTAGTGATCATATTTAATTTTTTTTTAAAACTAAATATCAATGAAAGAATTTATTTTTTATGAATTTTGTGAGACAAATATAGACTTTTTGTTTTTTGATATCGGGCCAAAAATGTGAACTTAGTATGGTACACAGAAATGGCCTCTTTGGTCTTTCTAGGAGTAATTGTTTTAATTTAATTTTTATATGTAGTTTTACTTAATGCTATTATGTAGCAAAGTAATGCAATTAAAAAAACTAATGATGTGAATTTTTTTTAATTGTTATAGATTTACTCTCTCTGTTTATTTTTAATAATTTTAATTTAACTTTTGGGCTTTTCAAATATGAATTTTAGATAAAAATTTAACATATTATATAAATGATAATTAAAATTTTTTTAATCAAATAAAAATACTTAACAAAAATTGTTTATAGGAAAAAAATAATTCAATT